TTATTTATTGGATATATATATATATTCTTTTTTTTTCTTTTTTTACATATCGTTTTTGATTTTACTTGTGTATTTCTTAATGCAGTTCCCTATTGTAAATCACTAATGTGACATACGTTTACTGTCGAAAGAAAGAAATATTATTATTATTTTACTGCTGCAGCTGATGTATTCTCGTTGTTGATTTTACACAGTGTGGTTATGTCTCCTGCGAGTAAGCATTGCCGGGTCAATATTAAACTTTTAAGATCATCTCCACCATCATCATTTTGTTCAGCTAAGTTCATATTTGTGAACGGGAAAAGTAAATTCAACATTTCGATTGAAGGAATTGGAAGTGGGCATGAAAAAGAAGAAAACGAAAAAGAAAATGACAAAAGAGAGGACTGTCCAATAGTGGTCTCAACTTTAAAAGAAGCACAAATCATGACAAGAACAACGCACCAAATACAAAACGATAATAATAACAATAACGGGGGAAATGAGAAGTATCAGGTTTGGCATGTCTGCTGAAATTTTTAAAGGAAGTTGCGGTAACAAACAATACAATACAATACAAACCAACAATACATGAAATCGTTTGATAAAGGGAAAAAATACATATTATAGATAAAATGCAGAATGACACGTTAAATATCGTTACAGTATGGCGGGATAAGAAGTAGGGATACCAACCCGTATCATTTCACTTACCTAGTACGTGTACATCAGAAAAGGCGCATTGACCGCTTCCAATTTCATTCGAAGCAACACAACAAAACTTATTCCATCCCAATGATCTCGGTGTTGTACTAAACTGTCCGCTGCTGCTTGATCCAATGTAAGTATTTCCATTGTACAGTGAGTAGTTCTTGACTGATGGATATGCATCAGCCGTGCAATTGAGAGTAATGTCTGTATTCTCACATACGTCCACCTTGGTTGGGGAGAGCAAAGTATTCGTAGGTTTATCTGAAGTGAAATTGTATGAACCAATCAGTAGTAGTAAGCTGGGGTATCGATGGTGAGGGCATGTATGTGTGCATGTTGCACTAGAGTTTTCAAAGTTTTCGATATAAGATTACTTTCTTCCTTTTACTCCACCAAATCCGTTTACCAATTAAAAAATAATACTCCTTTAGCACACTCATGTATCTTGCGCAATTTGCACTGGTAGAAAGGAAATATTTATTTCAACAGATATTGGACTTGAAATCATTAGACACTGCATGGCTTACGCATTTTACAAGCTCGGTAATGTACATGATTTAACATATATATTTTTATAAGGTTACAACACGTTGGTAAAAAAATCACCAAACGATTAGTGGACTTTGAGCCTACGACACTAGCTACGGTCCTACGCAGTCCACTTTCATGATAACTCAGTCATTAGTAGTTGATTAGTTCATTAATAGTTCATAAATAGTTGAAATAAAAATTATTATTCCGCAGTATAAGAAAAGCGATGTTGCGTATATCAAGTTCCTACTTACATTTAACATGTAAAGTCAATGACTCTCTATACGGATTACCAACCCCGTTGTCAGCAATACAGGTATAGTTTCCTCTGTCATTTATTGCTACTTGTTGGAAGACAAGCTTGTTGATTGGACTTGATACCGAACTACTTCCATTGTAATATTCTTCATTCTTCATAAATCTGATGTTTGGTATGGGTTTACCAGTAGCATTACACAACAAGGTGATGGTTTGGTTCTCGACAGCACTTCCATCTTGACAGCCTTGACATAAGAGTGCGGTGATTGTGGGAAGGACTGTGAAAAATGAATAAAAAAATAGTCAAGTGACGATGGTGTCCTTCACAATTCCCTGCGCCATCTTGAAGATAGCCGTGCCCTTGCATCGAAGCGAGATGCGAAGGTGAGCTTGCAATGATAGAGACCTTTTTTAACACCTTGGACAATTATTCACATGTCTCTATCATTGAAAGCTCACCGTTCGCCTTTCTTCAATGCAAAGGCTTGGCAACCTTTCAAGATGGCGACGGGAACTGTGAATGGGACTATCACTTGAGTGTAATGTCCTTTTTTCTTATAGAGTCAACTCCAGGGGAAATTACTAGTGGAGTGCAACTTCGTTTATCTTCTGGTCCATCAAATTGCTAGCTAGGCTAAAAATAACTCGCGCGCTGATTGGTTGGTGGCTGTGACGCGCGCCGTCTTTGTAAGATGCCGAATGTTTTTTCAGCGGCTTGATTCAAAGGATTCTAGCTGGATAAATTCTGTTTTTATGGACATTTAAAAGAAGATAAAGCTTCTTTCGAAAATATAGACCTTACATCAAACCTTCGAATAAGCTTGATTTCTTCCAACTAGACTACTAACACTTCCAAAGCCAAGACGAAAAAATGCTCTGTTTTTCTAGAAACCGACAAGAAAGAACTCAAAGCTAAGATCGATAAGAAAATGTTTTAGAAAATAAATATTCATCACATTTGAATAGCTTATTGTCGCTCTTCGCTTCCAATCCTTCAGACTCCGATTCCACAATATGGTAAAAGTCTTGAATTTTTCGGAAAACCAAAACGAAATATGGAAAATTGTCGATTCTCAGTAGAAAATGGAGTATCAAATCCAGTAAGTATTTATGTTACAGTTAAAAAGATATAACTAGCTAAAAACTAGTGTGAGCTGCGTCGGTGTTTCTAATGAAACAGTAATGA